ACCTAGAACAGCTCTAATGCGGCTGTTGGGTTTGCGCTACTCAGTAGAGGACACCGCGGTCCCTAAGTTGTGTCTTACGGGCATGCCTATTGCTGGCGACATGCTTGAGTCGCCCTGCTTTGACCCCTGTGAGACTTTGAGATTCCGGCTGCGGTGGCCGTGAGGGAGCTCTTGACATCAGCGCCCAAAAGGAGATTTGCGGCAATCAAGCGTGTCAGCTACATGAACTATCGGTGCCAAGGTTGTTATCTATGGCAAGACGTTGAAGGAAGTGAGTAAAGGAACAAGTGGTCGCGAGGCATGGCGAGGACTATAATACCTAGTTTGGGACGTCCTCAGAGCAGTCACACATCTGGCGATGTCAAGTACCGCCGAATTGACGACCACAGTGCTGGATACACCAACTTACGGCAGCCACAAGGAAACGGCAGATCACTATGGCCATGGTTGACTATCTGGTGGTCATGGCAAAGTCCTTTTTCGAGGAGCAGCGTGAAGTCTTGCACATTGGAACAGAAGACATGCAAGGAGCATATCGTCAGATTCCCTTGCCCAATAGCCAGGTTGGCATTGTGGCCACAGCAGTTTACAACCCTCATGTGAAGCAGGTCAACCTGGTTGAAACTGATGGTTAGCCAATCGGCGGGGGGCGCGCTGTGCCCAACTTCTATCGAGTGGCAGACCCGTCAGAACCGTTTGATGGTTTGAGGGTTTCACGTTGTCATGGGCCACTTCTGTGCCGACTTCTTCCTTGTGGAAAGGGTAGACCTTGCGGCGGAATGCATGTTCTAACGCATGCTCTGTGCGCGCGCAAGGTTTGGAACTCCTGTAGGCTTTGCGTAGGAGAACTTCGGGCTCTTGATTGACCACATCTTGCAGCAAGACTTCTTGCCTCCATCAGTTGCAGCAAGTGCCCTTGGAAAGTTCGGCCTCTTTTGCAGCACACTCTTCGGTAGTCGTTTTCGTGCAGGCCATGTGAGAGCTAGACAACATACCAATGGTGGCGCGCCCGGCCTCACGCCAGATTTTGTTTGTTGCTTGAAGCTCATGAAGTTCCTCGTTGGATCATCCCCAGCTCCTACTAGTTGCCTGCGTTCCAAGTCTTCCCCACTTCTGCTATATCTTAGCCAGTCCGGTAGCGTTGGCGACTTGGAAACTAGGTTTGTTGGAGCGCCAGCAAGTTATCCAATTGGGGATTACGGCGCACACACCGTCGATTGTCGACATCTATATCGATCACGTCGAGTCCAAATCAAACCTTGCCGATGGCACAAGCCGCTTGGACTTCAAGCACATGACCCTTCTGAACGCCCAATGTACAGAGTACAGGGCCGGTAGTTAGTTTGTTATTTTCTGAGTGTCCTTCTTGGGCTTGATCGCTGCATTCCCGCAATTACCCAGTCGATGGCAAGTCTGCAGCGGAGGGGAAATCATAGCCATCTATGCGTTGGGAGTACTTCCCGTCCTCCGTCAGGGTCTGGGTTGGTTCGCCATCAGCGAATCAGCGCTCAGTGGTTTGAGTGTCCGAGCTGCCATCGCGATGATCATTCCCGCCGGAGAACCAAAGAGAGAATTGCGAGCAACGGGGGGGAGGAGCAGTTGTTGCGCAAAGATTTTGTATTTAGTGGCTGTTCTAGGACGAGCCCGCGCGTTTTGGATCAAACTACCTTGATCCCTGCGGCGCTCCTCCTTTGTTCTCCCACCCTCCCAGCCCTGTTGAGAAGAGGGGTTGCCGGAATCTCCAATTCCCCTTCAGGGTCTGAGTTGGTTCTTGGTAGTCCGGACAACAGTTCATCAACCATTCCCACCGACAAAACAGAAGAGAGAACTGCGAGTGATGCGGGAAGGAGCGATTCTCAATGCACCGCGTCGGTTAAGAATTGCCTTTCGTAATTAATGGTTTCGTGAAAGTGAATGTGCCTAGAGACCTTTTTGGAGCCTTTCTTGGTGTCGACTCTTCAAGGATTTGGTTCCCGATAGTGCCCTACCGCCTGGTGAATGGGCTCTTCCTCTCAGCTGACTACAGGCAAGTAGCCGCTAGTGAGCTGCAAACTTAGCATCAAGTAAGCAAGAAAGTGCAAGAGCGTCAAAAGAGATAATGTCAAGGTTGACATTGCAATCAAGAATGTAATGCGTCATGTATGGTCAACAATGACAAGATGTGCGGGAGAAAAACCCAATAGAAGATTTCTAGTCGAAACTCAGAAGCTCGATCTGAACTGAAATGGTCGGTTTCACGGCCAATACAAGTCACTTTTTCGATCTAGTCAAGCCAGTTGGCACAAGCTTGGCGGAGGCATTTGGTAGGGAAAACTACGCAATGTTTCTATAGCATTGAGGACAGAATTTTAGCCAGGGTCACGCAGGGGTCACAAAATAAAGTCATCCAAGTTATCCTGGCGAAATCTATCTTACCAAAAAACAAATCCAGCTGGATGTAGCTGCTTCACGTGTTTTCATGCCGCTCTGAACGCTTGAGGGAGAATATATAATTAGTTTTGCTGAGTACTTGACAAGTCCAACGAAAGGTCATGTGGCGCCGTCAAGTGGCTTTGGTAGCGTTGTTACTTCATAAAGCTCTTAGCAGGACTCAGAGATGCCGCCGCAAGAAGTCAAAGAGCGTTTGGAGATCATCGAATGGAAGGTCCGCGATATCCAACACGTGCCTCGAGCGAGCAAGGGGACAGTTGCAGGGGTCGTGCAAATGTTCAAGTTGGATTATGTTTGGTTGCCAACATCTGCGATGTGCAAAGGCCAGCCTTCGAAATAGTGGATTCGTCCCCTGATTTTGCAGCACCAAACTTGGGAATCCGATCGCTCTCTCATGCGGTGCATGGTGAGACTGATGTTTGATCGACCAAGTTGGCTGAAGCCGAGGAGTGGTTTTTGATCCAACCAGCCTGCCTCATTTTGGATTTGATGGCTTTGGTCTCAGGGCTTTTGGCCATCTTCCGCTTGGTGATGCATTGGGAGATCTACGTGCTTTGGATACAATCCGAAAACGGAGAATCCAGCATCTAACAGCGTACTTGGTCAAACTGGCACGTCAGACTGAGTTTCCTCTCGTTCTTTCGGGATTCTCCCCTGGACGCAACCAAGGATTTGGTGCCCCTTTTGGCCGCCAATTGCATCACTTTACTAGTCTTTGCATCCGGGCAGAACAGAGAGTGGAGAAGGTTCTGAAATCGATGACGTTCAATGACTCAATCATGTTTGTTTGTCGAGTCATCTACTGTGTGTGGAGGTTCAATTTCAGGAATCGTGTGGCTTCAAAATGACACGGTCGTACTCTTTCTCGGGACATATTCAAATTCTTATTCCTTCCTTTATTGATTCTTCATGTAAGGTGGTGGTCGAGCTGAAGCCCACCGTCGATTGGAATTCCTTTTTGGCTTCGTACCAAAAGGGTAAAACCAACGTGGACACCGTGCCGCGAAGAGCGATTCGCGGTGCGACGCTGTGCAAAGTGGTTGTGGTGGTTGCGGTTTCAAACTGTCTCTTTTCTTCCTTTGTTTATCTTTGTTTCTATGAGCGATGGCCTTGAGTTAGACTGACTAACCGCCAAAATTTGACCCGATTCTTCCTCTCATGAAAAGTGAAGACCGATGATCCAAGGTGCTGTTTATTTGGCTCAGTCAAGGCTTTTTGAATGCGAAGATGCTGGGCTTGACCTTGACTCCCGCCTACTTTACCGGTCTGGCCTTGTCAGCAGTGATCTCTTTAACCACTGCTGCCTTCCAGAAATGTTATAAAGAAATCGTTGTGGTAATAAGTCATTGATAGGTCTCCTAGGAATCTCCTATAGGGTTGCTTTTAGAAAGTTAGAACTAAAACCTCGAGGTGTGTTATGAGTTTTCGAGCGGGGCTGAAAGTCAGTATTGCCTTCAGAAATGGTTCCTTGTAAAGCTAAAACCAGGCCTTGAGGAATCTGATGAGTTCGTGGCAAAGTTCCGCAACTCACATCAGCGGCAAAGCTCCCGCTGAGAGGTTAATGTCAATGAGTCCATTGACTCAATTGCTCAGTTTAGGAGTGCCAACAAACTGGCGATGGCCTCCAACCCAAGAGCGATGGCCTCCAATCTACTAGCAATTGCTCGGTTTAGGAAAATGGGAAAGAGTCTTGCGCTTAGCCCCATTTTTCATGCTCCACGTTTGGCCCTGGGCTGTGGTTGTCTCATATCTCCAAAGTCCCACTGGTATTGTACAAATCGGATTCCGTTCAAGATTTGTTTCATCAAATAGCAAATATGATATGATATGATGATATGATCCACTCGATGAAACGGGAGGGGCTGCGCATATAATGTGAATATGTACATCAACGACAACTTTGCACGTGTAGCGAAGATATGCAAGAAGAAAGAAAGAAGGGTCTAAGAGTTTCGGCTTTTGAGGCATGTTTTGTTATTTTTCTGCATGAAAAAATTCAGTCATGCATGATACCATGAGTTGCGTGTGCGTATGCATGGCTTCCTTTTGCACTTTGCAGTCCAAGGGACCACCCGGGACCAGCCCTGTTTTGGCAGCGCTGCCAGTCACACTCTGTGACTAAAGCAAAACATATAAAAGAGGGCTGACACAAAGGTCGAAAAAAGATATCAAAGAAGTGTGCGGGCAGTGGGCAACCAGTACTTGTAGGCCGCTGCTGTTCCCAAGCCCAGATGTGGGAACAACAATGAGCGGGGTGGCCTAGAAGCGATGGCCTCCAACCTAAGCGATCCATCTCCAAGCAGCTTTGGCTCAAATGAGTGAGATCAAATTCGCGGCATTTGGCCCAACCAAACACAACATTGGCTCTCACAAAACAGTTTTGGACGGAAATCTGTCATAGGCCATAGCCAACAGAGTTGAATCAATCCTTTCATCTTCAAAAAGCAGCTGAAGCGGCTGAAATTTTGGATTATAAAGGAGTATCAAGGAAGCGTTTTAGATTTGTGCCTATGTGGTCTCATGTCCTCACGTCATATGTCTCACGCGCAAGACGTAATCTCAAGGCTTCCAGCAGGTTTCAGGATGTACCTGGACTTGCGCGCTTGCTCGCCTAGCAATGTTACGATATGATTTCGAGAATGAGGACGTCAACTCCTTTGCTGCTTGATTGGTGTGGCTGTAAGCGCGCTGTCATGATGAAAGATTGAACATAAAAAACCTTATACATTGGGAGCCGTCTGAGGTAATCAATTGGCGAGGTGTCAAAGAGTTTGCACAAATGAGCACTGATCGACTCGATCTGCTTGAAGTCAGCTGGCCGGTGAAGACCCCGGTCTCGTTATTTCGGTAAAACGCAAAGACCCCGGTCAGAAGTCCAGAAGACCCTTTAGGCACACCTTTGATCATGGTCTTCATTAGCCTGTAAGTTGGAGGACTGTGAAATTACCCCTTTTCCACCAGGACTTCGAGAAGCAAATCCGCTCCTCCGCATACGCGTGCAAAGATGACGCCGCGAGCTGAGAGTGCAAGTTGTTGATGATGTTTGTGGTTTGCGCTCGGGTATGTAACTATCCGTTCACCTGAGGAAAATGTTGCCGGGATGCCCTAATTGGTATGTTGCTAACGGCCTCAGGCTGTCAGGTCCTGGTGCTGGAAGGTATTTTCAAAGCTAGCCCACAAGGGCCAAGCACCAAATCACCAAGCCAGTTGACAGGCTACTACAGCAAAGCTCAGAGAGTTTCTGAGATCCGACACCATCGGCACCTTCGCGCAGTGGGGCATGGGGACAATTTGCAAGGTCCCGGCGAGGTCTTGATTTCGATATCAATGCTCCAAACTAGAGGCCATCGCTACTAGGTTGGTAGCCATCGCTACTAGGTTGGAGGCCATTGCTAGTAGGTTGGAGTTAGGTTGGAGGCCATCGCGACTGAGAGTCAAAAGGGTAGTCATGGGAAGTGCTGCGGTCTTCGTGCCTGTTTTTTGCTGGTTTTGTTTCCACAAAGGGACTGTTCTACGGTACTACAGGGAAGTAAAGAAAGTGCTGTTTGGAAGTTTGCGAAGCCAAGATTTCTTTTACGAGATCGCTTTGTGAGGGGAATGCCTTCAGTCCTCTTTAGGCTGCAAAGTGCTGTAGGTTCCAAACATTGGCTCCAGGCTAGATGGGCCCTCCCTCACCCAGCGATCTTCACCTAGTTTGGTTATCCCAGATGATTTGTGGAGGAATTTATACAATTTGATCTTTTTTTCGCAAACCAAATTTGTGGAATTTGGATGGATTCGGGATTCGACGCCTTAGGCGTCGATCATGTGGTCAAGACGCCTTTTGGGTTTCGGCGCTTGGTCTACAGCGATTTCACCGCTTCGGGCCGGGCCTTGCGATGGGTGGCCACCCGGCACAAGACGGTCGCACGAGGCTTTCAGAAGCAAATGTTGCGCGATGTTGCGCAGTAATATTTAGGACAAATGTTTATGAAAAAAAAAATATTTTCTTGTATGTTTAATCCTTTTTCCTCCAAATGTTCATCGCTATTAGGTTGGAGGCGATCCCTTTTAGTATCAAAATGAGCAATTGAGCCGTGGATTGGTCCAGGCTTGCCTTTTCAGATGAAGGTGTTTCTTCTCATGTACGGCCCATGTTCTTTTAAACCTACCCTCCCCAAGACTAAAGACTTATTATTAGTATTACTATATTATCCACTATTGTCATTCAAGACCTCAACCAAGAAGAGAAGGAGAGTTGAGGAAGTTGCATGTTGAAACCTCGGGTTAGAGACCGAGGAGAAGTTCATCCAAGATCGAATCCTTCCTGCTTATGGCAACACTCACACACTGTCCACTGCCACCGCTCGGCAGTCGACCTTCTTTCGCTGCTTGGAATTGTTGCGCGCTCTAGTGCAGAGGTTGTGGAGGATGGTCCCCACCGAGATTCCTGAGGAGTGCGAGTAGGTCCTTGAAATGTGGGTTGCTGTTATATATATATATATATTGGTTGGGCTCGTAGCAAGTGCAAAGACCAAGGAAACGAAGCCAGGCAGATTGTGAAGCACTACTTGAACGACTCTTGGAACCCTTAAAATGTTGCAGAGTGGGGTCGGTTGAGATCGTTGGACCATTGTTGAACCCAACTGTCCAACTGTTTTTTAAAGCCCACTCACCCCCCTGCCTACTTAATTGAGTAGGCGCCTACTTAATTAAGTAAGCTACGAGACTAAGTTAGCTTCTAGGTAGGACGCAGGATAGCTCATGTTTGAAGAAGCGCTCGCACTAATGATTTGTTCCTAGATGTTTAGGGAAGCTTAGGTAGTGCTCGCATTTCTATAGGGTGAATGGCTGGATGGCTTTGGTGTCTTCGGGAGCTTGGGCCGATCGAATCCGCACTGCCTTAGCAATGTGCATAAATCCTTCAAATTTGGGATCTGTGCTGTGGACAACTATTTTGCTGCAGGAGCTGTCTCTACTCTCAACCTCAAGTCTATTTTTTACAACCTTGGCTAGAAATATGTTTTTCTCCAGCACAACTATATAGTAATTCTGTGGCCCCCCATTTCGTAACAGAGAAAGAAGAAGAAAGTCAGATGGTAAAAAGCCCAGGAAAGATCCCCAACAGCTGGGCATCACAATCCGCATACTAGGCAGTGGCACACCAACAAGTGTCGTGTCTTTGCTAGACAACACTTTCTTGAGAAGTGTGAACCTTTCAATGTGCCACGTGAGCATGCCAACACCAACACGTCGGCATAGTACATATCATGTGCCCACATATGTGCAAGCACGACACCACTACAACTACAAGCAAGAATCAGCAAACCTCCTACCCGCTTTGGAGTTTGCCAGCAAGTCAGCGCAACTGCGTGACCCGACTGCAGCATCTCAGTGTGACAACATGTCAGAATGTTGGCGTGGCCCATGCCGGCGGAATGCCATGTTGAAACCACACAAGCATATCAGTGTGACAACGAAAACATAGCCTACCGGCGTGGCAACACCTGACCCCGAAGCTTCGCTGGGGAAAAAGATTGTAAGAGAAGTCTCTGAAGAAAACAAGCATCCTGGCTCCTAGTAGCGATGCCAGGAGCCCCTAGTAGCTTCTTGCTCCTAGTAGTACGGCCAGGAGCCCCTAGTATCTACGATTTGCCAAATCAGATATCGGGGTGATCCATGATTGTTTGGAGCTTCGATCTGAAAAAGGTGTTGCGGATCGCAGACCGTCGGGACCGTTTCGACCAGTCCGACCCAGGCGACTCATGAAGATGCCCTGATTTTTTCGGGGCATGGCACTACAGGCTGAACAGAGTGTCAATATGTCAAGCGGAGCAGTTGAAACCTGGTGAACAGCATGTGATGTTCTTCAGTTGCATCGGTTGTCGGGCAGTTTGGGGTTGAGAGGACGGCCTACCAAATGGTCGCAGGAGAATTCGGGGCAGGTTGCAACATTTTGTTCGACGGTTGCATTGTGGGAGCAAGTTGCATTTCAAGATCATGGACCTCCCACGTGTGGGGACTGTGTTTGAGTACGAAACCGGTATGAAAAGTTAGCTTGAAAAGTTAGCTTGAAAAGTTTACTTCACAATATATAGTGTGTTAATATGTGTTAATAAAGGGAGTGACGTTAGGGGGAATTGTTCGCTCTGAGAATTTGTGGTTACTTTTTCAACTGGTTTTGCCATTACGCAGGAATGCGTGACAGGTCTTTGCAGTTCAGCAGTCAACTGGTTCAACGAAGTGTGTCGATCATTTTATATACATACCACAAAAAGAGTATATATGTCCTTTAAACTTTAGACACGTTTGCACCTTCATTTTGGATGTTTAGCGAGTTTTCAGCTTCCTAGTTCTAGACACCTGGCACTGACTGGCAAGGTGCGGTGCAGAAGTTCGTGAGCATTATGTGTCGATCCAACTGGCTTTTACCATCCTTCCAGGAGAGCACAAGTTTGACCTTCCAGATGGAGAGTCATTTCTGCCAAAGCCAAAGGAACCCAATCAGATCCAGAAACAAGTCTGGTCTGATTTTCCGACTAAAGGAATTCTGAGACTGCTTTGCTGTTTTGTTTCAAGTTGTGGCATGGGCAATAGAGCCTAACAATTGTTGGTTTTCCATACAGGGTTCCTGGCAAATGTTGTGGAGTCACTGTACTATTGCTCGGCTTGTTCGGCTTGCCCATGCCATTCTCGATTTGTGTCAAGCTTGAGGATGGAGATTCAGCGGGCGCTGAGGTATCTGAATCTCGGAGTGAGGGAGTCGAAACAGTCGAGGGAGTTGAAATCTCGCTTAGGCCCGAAAGGCCAAAAAATGAATTAAAAAAGATGGAAGATGAGGGTCATGAGAAAGGTCAAAACACTCAGCTGAGTGAGACACGGGAGACGTGAGGTTTCAGGCACTTCAGGCTTGTTCCAATTCGCTCATCATGGCTCCTTCGGCTAAATAGCGGACATCGCCACAAGCCATTTAGGCATAAGCCTTGCAAGTGTGGCAACACTTGCACACCAGTCAGTCACGTTCAACTTCAGCCAATCAATGTGATGACATCCAACATCCACCAGTGCCACCCACCAAGCCAGCCCGCCGCCCACCTCATTGTTTGAGGACGGTTTTCTGCGAGAAGATCGCTGGGGAAGCTACGAGTGCTCCCTTTGCACCGTACGGCTGAAAACAGACGCTCGCTGCAAGACGTCTATTTGTTGTTTTTCCGCACGCACATGTTGGTACACCTGTTTGCAAGGTTTTAATCCAAGAGTCCAAGGGCCACGTCACAACCCGTTAGACCTTGCGCCTTATCCTGCAGGCCCTCCTTCAAATTCTTGAACTGATTTCGCCATGCACTTTGGAGAACTCAAAGATGTTTGGTGAGCAAAATAGCTTGGGCCCGAATCCGTCGAAGTTTGGTGTCGGAAAAAGGGGGCCCGTTCGTCAGGAAGCCCAGTACCGCAGCCACCGAAGCAGCGAGATGCACCAGGAGAAGCTGCGCCAACAGAGGCCCCAGAATCCCTTCGAAGGTGCTCAACCAAAGATGCATTGCTCATGTGTGTTTGTGTTTGCTGTTTGGGTTTGCTGTTTGGGGTTTTGTTCGTTTGCCGCAAAAAATCACTGAGATTAAGTTTATCCCCAAACAGTGCAGTCTCTGGCCGCACCCCTGAACCCTGTGTCCGGGCGTTGTCCTCGTGCTGTCTCTCCTCCAGTTGTCCTCCTGCTGTGCTTTGGCCGCGCTGGCGAACCCTCCTCTTTTCGTCTTGGTGCCCTCCTGTCCTCTCCCTCAGAACTCTGTCAGTGTCCTCCTCTTGTTCCCAAAACAGTTTTCACGCCGTCTTCACATTGGGGCCTAGCCCAGGCCCGCTTTTTCTGCCTTGTCCTGCTTCCTGTTTGGCCACGCCGCTTTCCCTTTCTCCGCCTTGTGCGGGCTATGAATGCAGTGATGCAGCGTTTAAAGCTTGATATCCTCGGATTTTCTCATGTCTCCCTTCTTTGCACATGACCCGGGAATCAGGAATTGTTTCGCAACCTGATGCCTTGAGTGCACGCGAAACTCAGCACGAACGAAGTGAGACAGAAGAGCGAATTAAACAGCGAAAGCTGGAATTGATCCGAAACAAGAAAAAGGAACACGCACAAGTTTACAAGAACCACCCGGGCCCTTGGAAGAGCGAGTAACCAAGTCACACAACTGAATGGAATCATCAATGCACAAGTAAGTGACTTTGTGAGATGAGAGAGGCTTGAAAAGTCCGACGAAGCCAGCAAGCTTGCCAAAATGCAACTCACGAAGTAAATGTTAAATTGACCAAACCTTCGGAACCTGACTTTGAACTGTTAAGGTGAAAGTGAAGAGTCACATCCGGAAACTGTTCACTGTAAACCGGGGTTAGACCCACCCAGGGAATCTTAGGCCCTTCGGGAACGAACTCAATTGCCACATCCTGAAGATATTTGGTCAAGGCCAAGGCGTTAAAATGCTCATAGAGTAATGCGAAAGCCTGCTTCAAGCACTCTGCTGATCCAGCTGAGGGAAGATATGAGGATTAGCAACAAAACTGGAAAAGAATCCTTAAGGGCCCGGTGACGCCAAGCATCATCGAAGTCTCTCACCTGAACTATTCCTTGTACGCACTTCCTCAAGAGCTCCGCCTCCACGCAGATATTCAATAGTTCTGCCGGCGCACTGGCAAACAGTCGTCTTTCCTTGCAGCCGCACATTGGGGAGGCAAGAACACTTTCGAGGAAAACACGCGCCAGCAGGATCAGTTTCGAGAACATCAGGAGGACACATCCAACGGTTTGCAGACCGCTGGCTCAAAGTAGAAATTATATCACATTGCCAAGAAACAGCGCCCTGAATCCTTTCACGCACACCTTGAATTTTGCCATGAAAGGCCCCCCTTTGCCAAGGCTCGCGCCGCTTCAACCATATTGTTGCCAAAAGATAAGGGTCTTGGTCAGAGCGATTGCGGCAATGAGCCCTGACCTTTATGATGTCAATGCCAATACATACGATCTCTAGCATGGAGACATAAACCAAATTCCAACAATCCCAATGAGCCGCTTAAAGGTTCGAACAACATTTAAACAATCACTAGCAAGAGTAATGGGTCCAGAATGCGACCATGCCAAGGCGGCAAATATTTCAGCGTTGGCTAATGCAACCGTGGGGAAGCAAGATGAAGCAAGCAATAGCAAGCTAGTGCAAATTTACATGACGTACGAAATATGCTTGGGCCAATGACAGTAGCGATTTGATGCCAATGACTCCAACATTTCCCTCGATCCGGACATTGGAGAGACCCGTCAAGCTGAAAGGGGGGTAAAAAACAACACCCAAAAGCATGGTGGCCCCATGTCCAAACTGAGACAGAAGTAGTCTAGTGGAGGTATGATGCCGTTTGTTCCTAGTACGGCCAGGAGCTACTAGTAGCGTCCTTGCTCCTAGTAGCGATTGCAGGAGCCCCTAGTAGCTTCTTGTTACTAGTAGCGATGCCCTTGCTCCTAGTAGTACGGCCAGGAGCTACTAGTAGCGTCCTTGCTCCTAGTAGCGATTGCAGGAGCCCCTAGTAGCTTCTTGTTACTGGTAGCGATGCCCTTGCTCCTAGTAGTACGGCCAGGAGCTACTAGTAGCGTCCTTGTTCCGTTCGTAGCGATGCTTTCACATGCCGTTCCCAAGCAGTGTTTACTTCGATGTCCCGAGGCACCCGACGGCTTTGCATTCTATGTGACCCTTTGGCACACCACTCTTCTCTACTGCCGTTCCGAGAACTTACGCGTCGTGCTCCGACTGGATTTTCCGATGACAGATTTAGTCGTTTTCGTACTCTAATGGGTCAGGGAAGAGTGATCAAGTGCATTTTGCCTGATCTAAGCAAGGAATTCCTCGAATATTGTATCCTACAGAAGATCACTTCCAATGTCACCAACAGTGTGGTAGCATTGCAGATTCAACCACAGACAAAATTCATGTTGCTGGGGACTGCCTGAAATGCCAGCCTTACGTCCACAAATACCCCGACAGTCCAACACGTCTAAAAGCGCTGGTAGTTTCACATGTTTCACTGACTCACTTTGTAGAGCAAGAACGCATTCTTGTGAAGGGTCCCCGCGCAAAACCCTGTAACTCGAGGTTACCCACACATCAGCACGGAGCCCATCTTCGAAGATTCCATCGCCTGCCGGAGTGGACGATCGGAGATTGTAGAGATTGAGGCCATCGCACGGCGATCGCAACGGTCATCGTGACAGTCTTCGCGATACTGTCAGGACTGTTGCGTTTTGGATGAAAAGGAATGTATGAGAACAAGAAGCTACTAGGGGCTCCTGGCATCGCTACTAGGAGCAAGAAGCTACTAGGAACAAGTGCCTCGCTTCTAGTAACAAGTGCCTTACTAGTAGTAACAAGGACGCTACTAGGGGCTCCTGGCATCGCTACTAGGAGCAAGGGTAGCAAAGAGAAGGTGTGAAGGACTCGTGTCATTTGTTGGGAGATTGAAAGGTGTGCACCAAATAGGTTCGTTTTGACGGTTTGACGATTGAAGTCCTTCCCTATTGTTTACATGTGTACATGACGTGCACTTTTTACATTTGTGGTGTGCACTTCTCAGTCTTTGAGATAGTGGACGTGGATTTACTCACAATGACTCACTGGTCAGAAAATCAGCAAGCCTTTGTTGGAATGAAACCTCCAGTGAAGATTGCACATGGAATACAGATTCCATCAGATTCCTAATTCCAGATTCCTTGATGCAAAGAACTTGTGCTTCCACAGTTGTGAAAGAATGAACGCCACGGCCTCGGACGGCTCAAGTGAAGGCTGCTGAATTTCTCGTGCGTCCCTCGATGTCCTTCGGTCGACTTGGTCTTCTTTCACTGGCAACATGACGACATTAGTAACAAGTGCCACGCTAGTAGTAACAGGTGCGTTACTAGTAGTAACAAGAAGCTATTAGTAACAAGTGCCACGCTGATTGGCCAGGGTCCAATCGAAGTATCGTTGATGAATGAAACAAAGTTCGAGACAGGGCTAAGAAAAAGATACTGAACAACCATCCAGGAATCCAGCCATTCTCCAGAGTCACCCAGCCATTGTTGAGTTGTGTTCTGAGGCAGAAGCTAAGTTTTGGCGTGTCATCACTGCAAAAAATGAGCCTGAAGCGCGTCAAGGACACACAGCAGTCTTGCAATTCCAGCGGATGTGGGTCTTTGGCGGAGCAATGATCAATGTGGATCCATCCTCCCGTTGGTCCTGTTTCAATGATTTGCATCTTGGAGTTCTGCAGATCCAACCCGAAAGAGCCAGGAACCCCATGGAACTCCTAGCTGGGACATGTTCATTAGCAACTGTATCGTGCTCTCGCAGGTTCATATTTCCCACGGTAATTTCAGAACGTGCACCAAATGAACTTAGGCACACCTTTGACACCGTTCAAGAGCAATGGACCCAAGTGATGCCGGAAGATCTCCCCAGTGCTCGTCATGGACATTCAGCCATCCTAGACACCGACCGGATGTGGATCTTTGGTGGAGCTGGAGGCAACAATGGTCTTAACCCTTCAGAGGATTTGCTGTATTACTTGGACCTATCGGACCTATCGGACCTGAGATGGATCAGAGTCAGCACGAATACGCCATCAGCACGCTTTGAGCATACAGCAGTCGTGGAAAGTGGAAAGATGTGGATCTTCGGGGGACATAGTGGACAGCGGCCGTCAGGGGCTCTCAATGACCTGCACTACCTTGACCTGGAGGCTGGAAGAACCCACTAAGGGGCTCGACATTCCGGTGGGCCGACGACACAGGTCAGGTCGACAGTCTTCCCATTTCTCCACACATCCCCACAGAGAAATCCCGAAATTTCAATCGAAGTCAACCTGAAATGCCCACTAGTGGAAGCCAGTTCTTGCATGTTTTTAAAGAAGAAACACGTAAATCGCATGGCATAAGCCATCACTTTTCTCATCTTTTCTCTCGTTCCTCCCAGGGCCAGAGCTGGGCTGCTGTGCCTGCTAGAGGCGATGTGCCCTCGCCGCGGTACCTCCACAGCGCTGTCAGCGAAGCACGGCGGATGTGGATCTACGGCGGTCGAGATGAAACAGATCTCTTTGAGGCCAGAAATGTGTTCAAAAGAGATCTCTTTGTCTTGTTAAATAACAATGGGTTCTATTTCAACACGTAAAATAGGAAGGGATTGACTACAACAAAAATTGGGATTAATGTGTTCCAGCTTGAGCAGGATTCTCTCCGTTGCAACTGTACCTTAGACAAAACCAGGAAAAAGAACAATTGGCCGTTCTCATGTTCCTGCTATACTTAAGCTACCCATATTGGGATCAAAAAGAGTTGTTCCCTCAAGAAAGATGTCTTAGAGAGTTTGTTTCTGGAGATTGGTGGGTCACCACGTGTTCTTTCCGAACCCTGAAGGGTTGCAACTCTCAAAATGGCACTTTCGGGTAGGTAGGTGTATAGGTGGATAGGAGCGTGTTGCAACATGTTCAACGAGCATTTTGTGGTATGGTAAAGGAGGGAACACCGGCCTTTCTGAGTTATTGAAGGGTATCACTTTGGTACATTTGTATTAAGTTGAACATTCCATGGCATGCACAAGGGTAAATGGGCTGGTTGGATCTCGTTGATTTGACCCACTTTAAGCGGCCTGAACAGAGGTTATGTCGGTTATGTGTTTCTTTATATGGGATGATGTCGGCAACGGGAAAAGTTTGGGGTTTGTGGAAAGTTAGCAGGTAAGGCTGGAATCCGACCTGAAAGAAAAAACAAAGAACACAACTGTTGATTTCCCTCCAAATTGAAGGACTTGTATTATTTGGATGTGGTGAACGAAACTTGGTTCTTCGCAAAGAGTGGGAGACTTACACCAGGCAAAGTCTATGACCACACAGCTGTCATGGATGCCGCTGGGCGCATGTGGCTGACAGGAGGATATTCAGACCGAGGGCCAAACTCCAAGGTCTTCTATTTGGAAGCTTCGCTTGAATGAATTTGACAATGCAGCACGGTTACTTGTCAGGGGTTTGAAACATAATACTGTAATCGACAGCATTGTCAAATTGTCCTAATTGACAGAAAGATCAGCAAGCGGCCATGAAGTCGTGTTTGTTTGCTTGCTCTTTCTGGAGGTATGTTGATATTATACGTAGGATGTAAACTTGTGCGGAATCCACTCCGACAGTACATACGGTGTCTCTTTCACTATGTTCAACCCCAAAAGAGCCTGTTTTGGACAGGAAATGTTTTGGTTCACCATGACGAACAGAAGGACACTTCGAAAGAAGATTTCCAATGGCACGTGGTTGACCTCTTTAGTGAGCGGCCCATCCCCAGAGAACGCTTCGCTGCGACCGCTGTGATCAACTTAAGCGGAAAGATGTGGACCTTTGGTGGAGAGCTGCAAGATGCAGAGCGTTATGCTCGTGCCTCGGCGCGGCGGTGGTCTCACATTCAAGGCAGTAGTTAAATCTCGCCGCCATGTTGGGGAGGGGGTCGCCAGCCCCAGTTTGTAGTTAAATTAGGACACTATAATTTGCTATTAGGTTGGAGGCCATCGCTATTAGGTTGGAGGCCATGGCTCCATCGCTATGAGGTTGGAGGCCGTCGCTGTTAGATTGGAGGCCCTCGC